CCCTGCTCCCCTCCCCCACTCCAGCCTCACCCCTGCTCCCCTCCCCCACTCCAGCCCCATCCCTACTCTCCTCCCCCACTCCAGCCTCATCCCTGTTCCCCTCCCCCACTGCAGCCCCATCCCTGCCTCCTCCCACTCCAGCCTCACCCCTGCTCCCCTCCCCGACTCCAGCCTCACCCCTGCTCCCCTCCCCTACTCCACCCTCACCCCTGCTCCCCTCCCCCACTCCAGCCTCATCCCTGCTCCCCTCCCCCACTCCAGCCCCATCCCTACTCTCCTCCCCCACTCCAGCCTCATCCCTGCTCCCCTCCCCCACTGCCTCACCCCTGCTCCCCTCCCCCACTCCAGCCTCACCCCTGCTCCCCTCCCCAACCTTCCATGTCCAAGTCATTGTGTAACCCCTCCACCCGACTTCCCTCTCTCAGCCAAGAGCAGGGCCTGTGAACCCAGGCACAGACCAGAGGATCTGAGCAGTCTGGGAGAAGCTGAAGGAGATGGCAGGTCTGCGGCCCCCTCCAGCCCCTGCCAAACCTGGCCACCCCCAAGCAGCAAGAGCCCATCACTATTCCCTCCCACCACTGCCCCTGCCCCATACTGCCCCCTCGCTGGCCTCCCCTGGGGCCACCAGGCTTACCTTTGTAACCCCCCACGGCAAGGAAGGGGAAGACCGGGCCCCCGTAGTCAGCTATGCAGCTCAGGGCTAGGGCCGTGCCATCCTTGAAGGTGAGTGGGGCACTGGGGGCAGAAGGAAGGGTCTTTCCTGGCCCTGTGCCCATTGACAGGCCCGGCACCCAGCCCCAGGCTGTTAGCACCGGCACCTGACCCCACGGTCAGAACCATTTCTCTCAATAGGATTTCATGCGGCCCAACCCACAGTGGACCCTCTCCCCACACACCTGCCTGAGGCTCCGGGCTCAGGGACGCAGCCCAGACAAGGTGGGTGGGCATCACATACACGGCCCCCTGGGGGGACCCCAGGACTTCGCCCCTGGAGTCAGCACAAGACAGCTGCCCTGGCCTCGTACTGCTCAGCCTCTTCCCTCGCCAGCCTGGAACCCTCCAGGCCCCGAGTTCAGATCCTTCTTTCTGCGGACAGGTGACCAGCCCAGGACCTTGGGCACGTCTCTACTAAGCCTTCCTGCAAGCATACCTTGGGCACCTGGACAAAGTGCTCTTTGCGAGTGACCACGTTGGTCACCAGCTGTCCTGGGCATGCTGGTTGCCCTGTAACCTGGAGCAGCTCACTACACCCCTGGGCCCATTTTCCTGTCTCGAATGGGGATCATCAGGCCACCCAAGAGCTGTTGTGAGCATCCAAAACCAAAATAAAGCCAACATGAGGACTGGGCCTGGGGCCAGAGCTTCCACCCTGACCTGCTAGTTCTGAGGGCCAGCTGGGGCCGAGGCACAGACTCTGGGAAGTGGCCCAAACCATGGGCTTCCCCAAGGGGCGGAGCTCTGGGACTCTCTCCTCTAATCCAGTGGTTCTCAGTGTGGCGTCAGGGCCCAGGGTCTGCAAGGCCAAACCTATTTTCATGATAACACTATGATGCTCTTTGCCTTTCCCCCTCATTTGCCCTCAGATATAAGGGGTACAGACGGTTCACCAACATGGCTTCAGACTCCATATTGCAACTAACATCTAGAAAACAACCACCTGCTGACTCTGGCATAGTATCAGAGGTAACCCCAGGTATGTCGAAGGCTGTCGCAACATGCCTCTCTCATCTGGCCACACAGGGGCGAGGTCAAGAGTTCTCACTTGCCTCCGACCAACAGACCACATGCAGATGCCAGGATCCAGCTGTCTTCTATTAAGTGAGACACTATGCTACCTCTGTGGACATGCAATGGGCTCATTACTGTGATTTGTAAAGAACTAATACAGATTTTTTCATTTCTCAGTTTTGCTTTCTCGTGTGGGAGGTGTCAGTAGATAGAACCTGTGTTCTATCTCTCTAGAGCTCTGTGGGGACTTGGGTCTCTCCAGACGCTGAGAACCTCTGCCTGCTGCAGCCTCAGGGAGCCTCAGCCACTGCCTGCCCACCTGCTGCCCTCCAGGCCGTGGTGGCCCGGGAGTCCTCACTCCCAGCCCCGAGGCCCAGAGGCCTCAGCATCCTGGTTCACACTGCGGCAGAGTGGAGGCTGCTGGGGACCGAACCCAGAAAGCACCAGGCTGTGTGGCCGCCTCCTGCACAGGGGGCACCCAGCCCAGGCGCGTGGAGCCTGAGACGAGCCCCAGCCCCTGCCCTGGCCCGAGAGCACCTTGCGGGGGACCCTGCTGGCCTCAGGGGCCCACACAGAAGCCCACGCACGTGTGGGGCTGTCACATTGCTCTGTAACACACAAAGCAAGGACGCGCAAGGGTGCCACTGCTATGTCCGAGTGGAGTCGGAACCGGGGAGGCCGAGGTGGCCCCGTGCAAATCTGCAACAGCGAGTGGGGCCCGTGGGGGAGGCTTGGGGGGAGAGGGTGTGGTGCAGCCCCTGAGACCGAGACGCAGAGCCACGCGGGAGCCCAGGGGCTGCGAGGCCCTGGCGCCCACCACAGCCCCGGCTGGGCACTTACTTGGCACAGTAGAGGAAGTGGTCCCTCCAGTCCACCTGGGAGGTGTGCCCCGTGAGCGTCTGGTTGGCGGTGAGCAGCAAGCGCGTGCGGTTGTTCTGGAAATACTGCAGGAGGCTGTTGACGCAGCAGTCAGAGAGACTGGTGTTGTGCGGGTTGAGGGGCGCGAAGCAGATGTCCTGCAGCGAGATGTTGCGCTGCTCCGTGGGCGACCACACCTGCAGGTGCCGCAGCCTCTCCTGCAGCTCCAGTAGCTCCAGCAGGAGGTCCGAGACCAGGATCCCGCTGAAGTTCTTGGGCCCAAGCAGCAGGGAGTCATAGCGGTAGCTGGGCTGGTTGGGGGCCCGCAGGATCACCTGGTTGGTCCGGAAGAAGGGGCCGAAATGCTGGTCGTGGAACGCCTTCTCACTGCGGGCTTGGCTGCTGGGGGCCGACCACAGCTCCACGGGGTCCGTGGTCAGCTCCACAAAGGCCAGGCCTCCCGACAAGGCCACCACCACGGCGATGCACAGGAAGAGGACGGTCAGCGGCCACGAGGCCACCCACGTGCCCCAGCCCTGGAAGCACTGGCTAAGGACGGTGTGGGTGGAGAGGCTGAGTCTGTCAGACAGGCTTATGCCCGCCTTGGGGCCCGGCGTCTTTTCCCAGCGGCGGGCCGAGGCCAGGCAGGTCCCCACCAGGAAGGCCGTGAACAGGGCGAGCGCAGAGCAGAGGATGATGACGAGGGCCAGCCCGCCCGCCATCTGGCCCAGGTAGAAGGTGGCGTCCAGGGCCTGGGGCCGGGGGATGACCGGGCAGGACGCAGCGCAGTCCTGGCAGGAGCAGGCCACCATGCCGTTCCCCTGGGACTCGTTGCAGGGCCTGATCTTTGTGTTCAGAGCCTGCATCCCGCTCCCGGGGGCCTGGCCCGGCTCCAGCAGGTGGAAGGTGATGTCCAGGGGGGCCAGGCCGTTCCCTATGTCCCCCTGGAAATTGAGCCAGCGCTGAGCGTTGCAGAGGGCGGAGCCGTACACGCCGCACATGGCGCCCACGGCCAGTGTGGCAGCCGAGGGGATGTGCACCCGGCTGCAGGAGTCGTAGGTCCGCTGGGCGAAGCTGCTCTGGTAGAAAGCCTCGTAGGCCACCACGGCCTGGGGCCGGCTGCCACCGCCCCCCGCCACGCGGGTCACGTTGATGAAGAGGCTCTGGTCGGGGCTGCAGGTGTTGTGGCAGTGTAGGTTCACGAAGTTGTCGGAGCAGGCGGGGCAGCGGGTGAGGAGGGCCTTGGTGACCGCCAGGCTCGCCTCCAGGGACACCAGCTGCTTAGAAGAGCAGCAGGCGTAGGTGGTGTTGGGGCCCGTGTAGAGGCTGGGGCAGATGCGCTGGAGGAGGGCCAGATGGTCACCTGTGACGTGGACGGCGGGCGTGTTGGACAGGCAGGACACGTTCGACAGAGGGGCCAGGCCTCCGGACAGCTCTGGGTTCTTCCCACACTCGTTATAGAAAGCGCAGTAGCCAGCCTGGTGGATCGGCGTGTACACTGCGCCCTGGGCCTACGGGGCAGGGCTACGTCACCACGGGCCCCAGCACCAGGCAGCGCCTCGGGAGGCTGGCGGGCAGTGCGGGCGGGAGGACCCGGGGCAGGGGCATGCGTGGGGTGGACCGCTGGGGGACCCAGGGAGAGGTGGGGTGTCTCCCGCCGTGTCTGGGGGCAACGGGTGGGCAGGCACAGCCGGGCCTTCATCCTGAGTGGCGGGGGTCACTGGAGAGGGAGGTGGCTGGACAGACCTGCATTTAGCAAGGTCACGGTGGAGGGTGAGGGGACAGGTGGGGAGAATGGGCTGGGCTGGGAGAACCCTGGAGGCTGTGGCGTGGTCCTGCCGGGACACGGTGGCCCGACAGGTCGGGGGCTGAATCCAAGTGGCCCTGTGCCCTCGGGGCCTGGTGGCTTCAAAGGCCCCGCCATCTGCCGGAGCTGCAGCCCACGCTCGGAGGCCCAGGGCCCCTCTTGGAGATTCTGTGCAGAGCTCGCCCTGCCCTCACCTGCTTGGGCCCGAAAGCCTTCGCCCGTCCTCCCGGACATGCGAGTGCCGGAGAAACTCGAGGCCAGAGCACCAGGACTCCCCCGGCCTCCAGATGCTAAATCCTCGTCAGGTGACCCCCCGGAGCCCACTTCAGCATCCCAGGACGGGACCCTCCCTCATCCCGGCGCTCCCACCTCAGGCCAGGACGTCCACGGCGCACCAGTGAGGGGAGGCACCCCGTCATCCCTGGTCCCCTGGACCCCCACCTGCACCCCTGCTGGGGCCACCTGGGATCCCTCACCCGTCCACAGACCAGCGCCTCAGACTCCAGGCCCTCCTCGCCATGGCCATGCAGCCCCCCGCACAGTACCCCCCGGGCAGGCGGTGGCGGAGGGGCCACCAGCGCCCAGACTCACCAAGTGCAGGACCAGTGCCCATAGCAGCCAGCCCCTCAGGCCGGCCTCCGCCATCCCAGCGCAGGGGCAGGGGTCCGAGGGCAGTGGGGCCAGGCCACAGGGACAGCCGGGGACAGCCAAGGGCTGGCTCTTGGAGACACACAGTGCTTGTCTGGGTGGCTCATGTACTGAAACTGGGGGTGTAGAGCTAGGCAGCCTCCCCGTTACGGACAAGCCTGGCCTGACTCGGCTGGGACCAATGGGGCTGAGCCTCACACCTCCCAGGACTCCCAACTAGTTAATGATCCACCTTCTCCTGCCCTCCCGCCTTTGTCCCACTCTCTCAGTGAGCCTCCCGGTGAGGTGCTGGGGTCTCCCCTTGGCTCACTTCCCAAAGCGAGAGTTGGCCCTCCAAACCCCCAGCCACCCACCCTGCCCACCCTCACCCTGCCCAGCCTCAGACCCCTCTCTGCCCAGCCCTCTCTTAAGACCAAGCCAGCTGTGGCTGGGATACACCCTAGCGCTGTCAACCTTAGCAACAGTTGTTAATTAATATTAACAACCTGATAACAGAGGGGACAGTTAGGGGTGGAGTGACCAGGGACAATTCTCCTCCTCTGGGTGGAGGGGAAGATCAGCCCCCCGAGGCCTGACGGCGCACAGAGACCCCAGATGCGGGAGCCACGGCCTCCTCTGCCCACCTGGCTCTCCCACCCTGTGCCACTCCCTCCTGCCCTGGGCCAGGCCTGTCCCCGCCAACCCTGCAGGGGCAGTGAGACTGGGAGCCCCACACAAACAGCACAGGTGCACGGCACTCACCTTCTGCTCCCTCCCCTGGGCTCTCCCTATCACCGGATGGACCAGACCTTGGCCCCCACGCCAAGGCTGAGCTGATAAGGGAGACTGTGGGGAGCACCTTCTGTGTGGCCGCCTACCCAAGGCCACTGCAGGAAGAAGCCTGCTATCTCTCAGATCCTGTGTCTCATGGACCCTGGCCTGACTCAGAAGAGCCACCCCAGACGTGCCAGGGAAGACAGAAGCCGAGGGGGCTCAGGCCCACCCTGAGTCAGCTCTGAGTCAGCCGTGGGTGGGGAGAAGCGTCAAGGGCCAGGGCTGCCTGTGTGCCACCATCCAGTCCCCTCCGGGCCCTGCCCCCATACACCTGGCTGGCCCATGCGGAGACTCCAGCCCCCACTCAGGGTTTCTGTCCCTGCTCCAGGATCTTCCCCCTGAAGCAGAGCCTGAGATGGGGATTTCACTGCACATAGTTTATCACAGGTGATCCCAGATGACCCCAGCGGGGGAGCGGGGATGAGCCAGGGAATGGAAAGAAGACTGCGTGGTCTCCGAGGTCTTAGCTGAGACTCAGCCAGGCTGAGAGCAGCACCTGGACCCTGAGCAGAAGATGGACATGCTCCCCACAATCTGTGCGCTTCCCGCCGGGCCGTGTCCTGCAGAGAGACAGATCCAGCTCCTGGAGCCGGAGGCCAGCCAGTGCCAGCATGTCATTATGATGCCTTAGTTTTTGGTTTGTGTCTTTGTGCCCAACTGTAGTTCCTCGATCTTGCATTGATTCAGACCCGAGATCCTAGAGAGGAGATCAGTGTGCCAAAAGGCGCCAGGCTTATGCCCTAAGTGCCCGGCTCACAGTGTCAGGTGAAGGGCTCAGATGATTGACACCCCTGGCCTGAAATGCTTTCCGCTGACACCAGCAATACCCAAGCACCCTGGTCAGCAGCCTCGCCTTCACAGTGCACTGTCTCTGTTGTCAGACTGGAGGCCTCAGTTTCCCTTTTCCTTCGTGACGAGGGAGATTGGGGTATGCCCACTCCGGCCCAGAGAGGAGTGAACAGGAGCCAATCTCCCAGCTCAGGAGACGGCAGGGAGAGAAGCCTGCTGGGGTCCAGGTTGGCGGATGCTGGGCAGTCTGCCCCAGGCAAGTCCTGCCCCCCCGGGGGGGGGCCTTTGGAGAGTCCGAAGTCTGGGCTGAGAGGTAGGGGTCAGGCTGTGGCGCTCCGCCAGAGGCGGCCCGGGCACGACACCTGGCTGGGTGTGCGTGAGACGCTCTGACCAGCCCGGGTGCACTGTGGGGACTCCCTGGGCGCCAGCCTACAGGGTAAGATTTAGGGTCTGGAACTCATGCTATTTGCCGAAGGCCTGTGTCTGCAGTGCAGGCAAGAGATGCTTCTCTGCCATCCCAGCCTCCTTTGCAGCTGCCTGTGGCCCTGTGATCTGGTTCTGGACAGTGTGAAGGCTTTTTTTTTTTTTTAAATAAGTGTCATTTTTTTTTTTTGGAGCAGTCTTCTGTTTACAGGAGTTCCCACACACTCTGTCATGTGCCCACAGCCCCTGGTACTAACCTCTTGCATCAGTGGGGCACATTCGCTGAAATCATCCTTGTCCTTCTTGTGAGCGGACAGAAGGTCCTCGCGCTTTATCCCTGCTGGAGCGGGCGTCAGAAATTCCTTTCCTGGGGCGCCTGGGTGGCTCAGTCGTTAAGCGCCTGCCTTCGGCTCAGGTCATGACCCCAGGGTCCTGGGATCGAGCCCCGCATCGGGCTCCCTGCTCCGCGGGAGGCCTGCTTCTCCCTCTCCCGCTCCCCCTGCTTGTGTTCCTGCTCTTGCTGTCTCGCTCTCTGTCGAAATAAATAAAATCTTAAAAAAAAAAAAAAAGAAAGAAAGAAATTCCTTTCCCAAGGCTGAATGCTAGTCCGCGGCGTGGACAGACCACATGGTGCCGATGAATGCCTGGGCGCCTCCACTGTTTCTCTACTATGAATAATGTCATGACCACGGGTGTGCAGCTTGCCTTCCAGACCCTGCTGCAGATCTCTGGGGTATGTATCCAGACGTGGGATTGCCAGGTCAATTGGCAACTCTATTTTTAACTTTCTGGGGAGCCAGCATACCGTGTCCCACAGTGGCTGCACCCTTTCCCACCCCCACCTTTTCACACCTTCCACAGGCGGCTCGCTGCTGTTCCAGTGGCAGCCATCCTGATGTTCTCATCTGCAGTTCCCTGATGACCAGCGATGTTGAGCATCTTTCACGTGCTCACTGGCCGTTCATACATTTTCCCTGGAGAAATGTCTATTCAAGATCCTTGTCCATTTTGTAATCAGACCGGGTGTTTTGTTCGATTGTTTCTTGCTGTTGCGTTTAGGCATTGTCTATAAAATCTGGATATTGATCCTTTATCAGGTATGTGGCTTGCAAATGTTTTCTCCTGTTCTGTAGGTTGCCTTTTTACGCTGTTGACAGTGACCTTGGATGCACAAAATTTTAGACCTTTCACGATGTCAAATTTGCTGATTTGCTAACTGTGCCTTTGATGTCATAGCCAATGACTCACTGACAAATCCCATGGCCCCAAGTTTTTGTCCTGGTTTCTTCTAAGAGTTTATAGTTTTAGCTTTTTTTTTTTTTTTTAAGGAGGTCCCATGCCTAATGTGGAGCTTGAACTCACGATCCTGAGATTGAGAGTTGTGTGCTCCACCAACTGAGCCAGCTGGACACCCCTACAATCTATGATCCAGTTTGAGTTAATTTTTGCATATGGTGTTAGTAAGGGTCCAACTTCATTATTTCACAAAATGGATATCCACTTTTCCAAACATTTCATGAAAAGACTGTCCTCTCTCCATTGAACAGTCTTGGCACCCTTGTCGAAAGTCATTTAACCGTACATGCAAGGGTTTGCTTAGAGGCTGCTTATTCTGTGCCATCCCATTGGTCCATAAGACTGTCTTACGCCAGCACCATTGTCTTCATTGCTATATTTTTTTTTAGAGAAGGAGAGAACAGGGGGAGGGGCAGAGGGAGAGAGAGACTCTAAAGCAGATTCCACACCCAGCACAGAGCCCGATGCAGGGTTTGATCTCAAGACCCTGAGATCATGACCTGAGCCAAAATCAAGAGTCAGATGCTTAACCAACTGAGCCCCTGATTACTATTATTTTGTGGTAAGTTTTGAAGTCAGGAAATGTGATGTCTTCCAACTTTGTTCTTTTCTCAAGAATTTGGGTTTTTTTGTTTGTTTGTTTGTTTTTTACTATTTGAGGTCCCTTAAGATTCCAATATGAATTTTAGGATAGATTTTTCCATTTCTGCAAACAATGACATTGGGATTTTGAGAGGGATTGCATTAAATCAGTAGCTCACTTTGGATAATAACAATATCAACTATTCCAACCTGTCCATGAACATGGGGTTCTGTTCCAGTTACATCTCCTTTAATTTCTTTCAGCAATGTCTTCTCATTTTGTGTATAGATCTTTCACTTCCTTGGTGCAGTTAATTCCTAAGTATTTTATTCATTTTGGTGCTATTGCAAAAGGAATTTTTTCCTCAATTTCCTTATCAGTTTGTTCATTGTTCTTGTATAGAAATGCAACTGATTTTTGTGTATTGACTTTGCAACTTTGCTAAATAAATTTGTTTATTTTTTTCTTTCAAAGATTTTATTTATTTATTTGACAGAGCGAGACACAGCGAGAGAGGGAACACAAGCAGGGGGAGCGGGAGAGGGAGAAGCAGGCTTCCCGCGGAGCAGGGAGCCCGATGCGGGGCTCGATCCCAGGACCCTGGGATCATGACCTGAGCCGAAGGCAGACGCTGAACGACTGAGCCACCCAGGCGCCCCATAAATTTATTTGTTCTAACAGGTATTTTTGTGAAGTCTTTAGGGTTTTTACGTATAAGACCATATCATCTGCAAACAGAGATCATGTCACTTCTTCCTTTCCGGTTTGGATTCCTTTTTTTTCTCCTTCTCCCCTAACTGTTCTGGTTGTGCTACGCTCGATGGGAGTGGTGACGTGGGCATCCCTATCTTATTCTTGATCTTAGAGGAAAATCTCTCAGTCTCACACCACTGAGTATGACGTTTGCTGTGGGTTGTTCTTAGATGACTTATTTGTTGAGATATTCCTTCTACTCATAGTCTTTTGAGTATTTTTATCATGAAAGCATGTTGGATTTTGTCAAATGCTTTTTCTCCATCAACTGAGATGTTGTAAATAGGAAACTTGATGGGCTTTTCCCCTACATTTTGTTGATGTGGCGTATTACACCAATTGACTTTGCATGTTGAACCATCCTTGCATTTGTTTAATAAATCCTACTTAGTCATGGTGTTTAATCCTGTTAATACGTGCTGAACTCTGTTCACTAGTATTTTGTTGA